CTTTTTGATTTTTTTTTTCTGTCATTGCATTATTTTAGTCTTCTGGTGTATTTGAGAAACATATCTCTGTAAAGGAGCAAAATGTCTGCAGAGGAAGGGGCTGTACCAAAGCTGGAATGCTACATTAGTTGCTGAGTACAGCTGAAAAAGTGAAACAGCTAGGCCTACAAGTGGCAGTAAAATTACATTGGTAAGCAGTATTATTCATATATCTACTAGTAAAATAAAGAGAGTGACATCACACTCAGCTGAAATCTGTTTCCATCTGTGGAAACTGGCCGTGGTTTTGTCTGCTATGTTAGTGCAGTGTGTAGATACTCAGTGTGAAATACAGACTGCTCTTTTAAAAAGAACGCTTTGAGCTTTTAAATTTGGCAATCCTTGGAATAATGGACCGTGCTGTACGGTTACTGTAGAAATACATACCAGTGGAGGGATGCACTTATAATGCGTAGCGGTAGGTGTTGCTAACAACATTGAGATTTTGGGGGGCATTGATGTGAATGGGAAAACTACTGGAAGATGCTCCACTGTTGTAGCTATCTGTGTCAATGATAGTGACTGTGTCCAGGCTGCCTGCTCCTGTTCTATGTTTCTGCTTCAGGCAGCTGCAGTGATGTCTCTTTTGCCTGTATGCTAATCTGTCCTGTATAGATTGAGCTTAAAAGTGAATTTGTTGACCTTCAGCTACACTCACAGGCTTTTCTACTGTTAAATTTCCCGGTAGCTTTAACTGAGGTTAGATGATTTTGCCTACGTGAAGGAGGTAGTGATGTCAGAGCTGGCAGCAGCATTATGTCACACTTCAAATGTCAGATCTGGCAGCTAGGAAGTAAAAGCTTTTGGATACCGGTTCCTATTATTGCTGGCAAAATGTGCTGATGTTTTTCATTTTAGTACTGTCTACACACCTCTAGTGAGGAAGTGACATTTATCCCAACAGTTCTGTGTTACAGCAGTGTTAAACACTAATAAGTCATGATACATTGTGGTGGTAAGTTTTTGTTTTTTTTTTTTTTTTTCCTTTGTGGTTAAAAAGTGATTTCTAGAATAAAAGTGCTGAGATAGGGATCTTACCGACTCCTGATTTAACCAGTATCAAGTAACATAAAAACTAAACTACTTGTGGAGAACCTGATACTTTTATTGTGTTTATCTTCTGCTAGTGTTCAGTGTTCTCTTTTAACTTGAAGTCATCTTAGCTTAGACTTGTGATTTTTTTTTTTTTTTTTTACTGTTACTGTAATACCCTTTCTGCTTGAGAATGAATTGTTTCCAAAGCAGTGTTTTCAAAATTCTGTTCTGTCCAATTTCTCGTTTCTACCAGATTTGAGAGGGTGGCACATTCAGAGGATAAATTGCAGTTTTTTTTAAAAATATAATTTTTCTCTCCTTTCTCAGTCGAAGTGATACCACTAGACATAAAAGTGAGTGGAAAAGTACAGACAAAAAAATCTGTTAAGTGAATGATTCAAACTGTTTCTATATTGTATGCTTCATAGCAAGAAACTTACATGTGCAGGCCACTGGTAGCTATTTAAATAATTTTGGACTGTTTTTTGACAATTTGGGCATGTGCATAGATGACCAGTAACTGCTGGCATGTAATTATGCATCCATTTGACAGCTAGTAGTGGTTATGGTGTTCAGGAACCTCTTCTATATCTTTTTGTTGAACAGGTAAGTTTGTTCCCTTTATGAAGTCTGTGTTGTGTTATTAGGATTATCAAGGCTTTCCTTATCTCTGATACTTAATGGTTATAATTTCAGCCAGGAGAACAGGGAAAGGTGAGAGCTGTTAGAGCTGATGGGCTGCTGAACAGGATATTCCACAGGGACAAAAAACAAAACAAAACAAAAAAACAGAACAAGGGAAGAGCTATCGTCTAAAGAATTTTATTAAAATTAAGGGTGTTTGGTCTAATGTTCCTTCTGTTTCCAGATCTTCTGTTATTTGGGTGAAGTGAGGTTTCTAACCTGCGTTGTCAGGCTTTTCTCGTAGTTGGGAATAAATCCATTTGGGGTTTTCTGACTATTGTTTTTCTTGGCCTTAGGATGAAAGGTCTTTGGATTGTAGTATGGCTGTATTTGGATAGGCTTCTACAGATTAGCTGAACTGGAATTCAAGTAGTCTGGACTCTTTCAGAAGGCATTTCAACATCTGAAACATATAGGTAAACTCCACCACAGTGGATAGCAGCTTGCCTGTCCATAACAGCTTCAAGATCCATCTTCTGTAAACTCTAGTTTAGTGTGATTTGTGAAATTCTGAGCTTCCAGATCCAGGTTTTAAATTGCTGCTATGGTACACCAGTTATGCTTTTTTGTATCAGTATTGTTTCAAGTAATCTGCAGTGCATTGTCCCTTCTCACTACAGAGGAATCTTACCTAGTGGAGGACTGCTTGAAGTGCCCTTTAGCTTCTCTGCTGCTGTCGGCCATTTACTCTGTTGTATGGGTAAAGGCCCAATGTATACAGAAGTTGCAAATGTGCCCCACAAGATATGTTTTCATCTAGTCTTTTGTTGTAGAAGTGAATGCATCCTAGAAAAGAGCTATACATGATTAACTAGCTTTGACTCTTACTTATAATCAGGTACTAATTTGTTTATTGTCCTAAAATAAAGCAAATTATTTTTCTTATAATTTTTTTTATTCTTTAAAGGTAAGAAAATATATGCTTCAGTGTTTGGAGATTTTTCTGAAGTTGAATTTTATAATTAGATAATGAGGAAAATATGAAGGAAACATACACATATTACACATTCAGGAGAGGATGAGGATGTAAATGTGAGGTTTTATGCATTTGACTTTGTCCAGCTTTGAGCTTCTTAGTGCAAAAAAGCTATTAATTTATTTGAGGAAGTTCAGTGGAGGCCACCAAGATAGTCATAACAGATGGCTTCTGAAGGGAGTCTAAATGAGCTGGGCTTGTTCAGCCAGAAGAGAGAATGGAGATTTGTTAACAATCTTATGTAACTTTTCTGAGTTTAGGAGAGCCAGGTGCATTTTCTTGCTGTGCTACTCAGTCAAGAGAGGCAATGGTTATAAACTTCTGGTTCTGACTGGATATAATTGAAACTTCACACTAGGAGGCTCATTAAGCATTGGAACAGGTTGCCCAGAGAGGATGTGAAATATTTCTTTGGAAATCTGCAAGACCAGAGTGTCCGGAGCCTTAAGTAGCCTGGTCCAAATCTGATGGTGACTATTGCTTGAGCAGGAGATGGGACTATATGACTTCACAAGACCCTTTCAAACATAGAGGGCTCTGCAGTTCTGCTTCCATAATTTCATCCTCCTTCCTCACTTGTAGCATTTATAGTACCTCTGCCAGTATTCCCCTGCCCCTGCAACAGGCTTCCTCCCATGTGTTTGCCTTGCACTCAAGATGGAGAAATGTTCTCTATGGTATCTGTGATGTTCCAGAAGCTATCTCACCTTTGCTGTTAACAATTCCCTACTTTTTTTTTTTCCCTCACTTGCATATATAAGTACATAGAGATGACTTTAGTACTCTAAATTGGTTTCCTATGAAGCAGAAAACTTCTACCTACACAGCAGAGTGGTGCTTGGAAAACGGTGTATATCAAACTGATTGAATTCAGATCGCATTGATGTTTTGCATACTAGGGAAGTTCTGTGATAGTCTTTGCAAATAACATCTTGTAGAAGATGGAGGCTGTTTGAGTAGTTGCTTATAAAAAGCCAACAACAACCAAACAGTAGAGTAGGTTACAAGGTCTTAGAATTCTTTTCTGGATTTAACAGTAAAGCTTGGTAGAATCATGCAGTCTTCTGCAATGGCTCTGTAGGTAGAACCACTCATTTAAAACTACCTGACACAACAAGAAAAAATTTAGTTGATTGTTTACTTCAGTAAATTCAGCCATTTGAGTTGAAATCTCACATGTCAGGTCTGTCCCAGGTAGGCTCTGATCAAAATAAAACCAACAACAAACAAATCCCCAAACCCATGTGATGCACCTTCATTTGCCGAACGGTGGGAAGTTGAATTACTTAAGAATTACGAATTTTCTTAGATCTCTGGATTTCCCTACAAATATAAATTTCTTCCACATATTTCTGCAGTTTCTTCCTGAGCAAGTTGTAAGTGATGTTGCAAAGATGCAGCCAGACTTTTGCGTAATTGCTGTTTGCTGGAACTAAGGGCAGGCAGGTGCTTGACTTTACAAAATGTAACATCCTGGTGAAATAAAAGGTGGAGATCTTGCATTTGTCAAGGATATGTCAACTACTGCTGTACAATTTCTCATAAAAACTGTTCCACAAGTCTACATCCAAAACTCTTAACTAGAAAATTCTGTGTTGTAACGAAGTTAGCAGATCTCTTTTTTTCCGATCCTTTCCTTGGTATGGATTGCTTGGCACCCTCTCACCCTCCTCTGCACCTTACTTTTGATGAATTTTAGCAGAAACTTGTTGTCTGAGCAAAACTTTTAATTCCTACTTGCTTCCATTTCCATGTGTTTTTGCTGCAGAGTTTTAGCAAATGGAGGTTAAATAATATAATTAATCTTGTCTTAAAATTGCTTTTTATCCTCTGATAAAAGTAGGTGATTCTGGTTACCTACCTATAGTTGTTAGAGGCTCTTTAAGTCTGAGAACACTACCAGTGTGTAAACAGTCTTTCGGTATGGAGATTGCAGGACTGGTTTTACTTGTGCTGAACCAGAAGAGCTGCTAGTTTTACATTATCTGCTAGAGGCAGTCTTATGAAACCATTTGTTGTCTTCAGGGCATGTAGCCTCTTTCTGTTCATGTTACTCTATTTTGTGTATTGCTAAACTTCCTCCAAGCAGCCTGAAACATTGTGTTTTTTTATTTGTTTTTTTTTTTTGTTTGTTTTGTGTTTTTTTTTTTCCAAACTAGAGAATGGGATTCCTTTTTATTAAGTTGGCTGCATCGCCCTAATAATGTATTGTCACTGTTATATACAGTATAACAGATTCTGAATACTCTTTTTTATTTTCCAATAGACTGGTGTTTGGGATGCTGTATCCTGCATATTACTCATACAAAGCTGTGAAGACAAAAAATGTGAAGGAATATGTAAGTCACACTCCTTTTAATTGCTTAATTACATGCCTCCGCTGGCATACAACTCTGAAATTTTCGTTACACAATGAAATAAATCACATGAAATCTTTATTTGACTAACTTAGTATTAGATACAACACTTGTGTGAGCCTAGTGTTAATCCTGGGATTTTGTCTGGAGGGCTAAATTTAAGGTAAGGTTTCTCAGACTTTTTCTCACAGACTTTGCTGAAATGTGTCCCAACACATTATGCTGTGAAACATATAAATGTTCCTAGGAGGATTTTTAAACATAATCCTTAAAGCGTTGACTGCATTTCAGTGAAGTGCCCAAAATAATGCACTTTTGGGTGGGAGTGGAATAAAGATTCTCTAGTTCTGCTAACACCTATAGTATAAGCAATGGCAAATTGATTCTCAGTGACCACTTGAAGAATAATATCAGTATAATTGTCATTTTTATAGAGCTCAGTAGGGGATTCAAATCAACCCTAAAAAAGGGTGGCTGTAGCTAATCTATTTTTCCTCAACGAGGAGGAAAAAATGTAACCAGAGAAGGAAAAGATTTGGTTAAGGTGATGGGGAGGAAAGAAGAACAGACAGAAAAGTAAGGTGGAGAAAAACACAATTGCTGTAGTTACTGCAGTTTAGAATTAATCTGTTAAATTATTTACTTTTCAGGGTAAGCAATGATGATTACCACAAGAATGTTACCCAGTTGCAGTCACAAGGAGCTTTTAGTCATTGAGTTACTTCCCTGTTTTAAGAGGCAGCCTTTTGGCAACTAACCTATATTCTCTCCTGAACCTTGTTCTTAACTTGGCTTCCTGACTCAGGATGGAGTCAGTGCCTTCACTTCAACTTGGCAGCTGTAGCTGTGACCTAATGCTGCTGTCTGTATGTATGATGTCTCTGCTTTGTACGTGGTTGCAGTAGTAAAATGCAGTAGCTGTTGTTGTTCCCCTTGTATGTCTTGCATGTAGTCTGATTGCTCCATCAGGGCTCCAAAGTGTACATTGTATTCATACTTCTGGTTTCTGGATGCAAGCTGATTAGAGCTTACTTGTGCCCATAGAGCTAGTGTGTGCCAGACCGAAGTTTCTGGGAGATTAAAAAAAAAAAAAGTTTTTTTGTCTCATGCTTAGTTTACCCTGTCAGGAGGGTATGTAATGCAAAGAATTTTAATAATCTGCTTTTCCTCCCCACTCCCTCAGAAGGGATCCACAGGCTAAGTAGAGGATAGCAGTTTCAAACTCTTAATAGAAGAAAACACTTTAAGAGGTTACCATTATCTCTTGTTATGTGTTTCTTAGGAAAAGAAAAAAAGTTTGTAGAATGCTCAGATTTTTTTTATTCTTACCTCTTGTCCAGTTAGCTATCACTTAGCTGTCTTTCTTGGGCATTTTAGATGTGCTTGTCATTTACACAAGAGCTTTAGTAGAGTCTGGAAACCTATTTTTCCAACTGTGTATTTTCATAGTGTAAAACACCGCTTTTCAGTTATATGTGGTCTTTGAGCAGTCCCTGAACTTGCAGTTGCATCAAAATGTTCATGGGGCTGAGATGAGGGGTAGAGCAATTGGTGTCATCTACCTGGACTTGTGTAAAGCATTCGACACTGTCCCACATGACATCCTTGTCTCTAAATTGGAGAGACATCAATTTGATGGATGGACCACTCGGTGGATAAAGAACTGGCTGGATGGCCGCACACAAAGAGTTGTGGTCAATGGCTCAATGTCCGTCTGGAGACCAGTAACGAGTGGTGTCCCTCAGGGATCGGTGTTGGGACTGGTCTTGTTCAACATCTTCGTTGCTGACATGAACAGTGGGATTGAGTGTGCCCTCAGCAAGTTTGCCAATGACACCAAGCTGTGTGGTTCGGTTGATACTCTGGAGGGAAGGAATGCCATCCAGAGGGACCTTGACACACTTGTGAGGTGGGCTGATGCCAACCTCATGAAGTATAACCATGCCAAGTGCAAGGTCCTACACCCGGGTCAGAGCAATCCCACGCACAGCTACAGGTTGGGCAGAGAAGAGATTCAGAGCAGCCCTGTGGAGAAGGACTTGGGGGTGTTGGTTGATGAGAAAATGAACATGAGCTGGCTTCAGTGTGTGCTTGCAGCCCGGAAAGCCAACCGTATCCTGGGCTGCATCAAAAGGAGCCTGACCAGCAGGTTGAAGGAGGTGATCCTGCCCCTCTACTCTGCTCTCGTGAGACCGCACCTGGAGTATTATGTGCAGTTCTGGTGTCCTCAACATAAAAAGGACTTGGAACTGTTGGAACAAGTCCAGAGAAGGGCCACGAGGATGATCAGGGGACTTGGACCACTTCCCGTATGAAGATAGGCTGAGAAAGTTGGGGCTGTTCAGGCTGGAGAAGAGAAGGCTGTGTGGAGACCTCATAGCAGCCTTACAGTATCTGAAGGGGGCCTACAGGGATCCTGGGGAGGGACTCTTCATTAGAGACTGTAGTGACAGGACAAGGGGTAACTGATTAAAACTTAAACAGGGGAAGTTTAGATTGGATATAAGGAAGAAGTTCTTCCCTGTTAGGGTGGTGAGGCACTGGAATGGGTTGCCCAGGGAAGTTGTGAATGCTCCATCCCTGGCAGTGTTCAAGACCACGTTGGACGAGGCCTTGGGTGACATGGTTTAGTGTGAGGTGTCCCTGCCCACGGCAGGGGGGTTGGAGCTTGATGATCTTAAGGTCCTTTCCAACCCTAACTATTCTATGATTCTGTGAATGACACCCATCACAGTGACTTTTCCACAGGCAGGGAATGGCACTGATTCATCAGTGAATTGCCACTCTACTGCTGGTTGGGTTGAATGTCCAAATATATCTTGAAGACAGTCCTTGGCTTTCATCTTCCCAGCTGGGTCAGTTTTCTTTCAGGGAGGTTTAACTACAGCCTTCCAAATGGCACACCTCTGCTGCCAGCTGTGTAATGGGCCAAGTGCATCTTCCTTTCCAGGTTTATATGTGGCTCAGGAGCCACTTGTTTTTGTTTGTTGGATTGCAAGAGCTTTGTAACAGTGAAATTATTTACTTACCCCTTCCACCGGTAAAAAAAACAAACACAAAGTGCAGATATCTTCACTTGCTGTGTAGGTCATGATGCCACGGATTGTTTAAAGATTTATTTCAGGGGGTGAGAAGAGTTACTTCTGGTTTTGGTAATCTAAAAGATTTACAGACTTCAGTTCTGGAAATTTGGATCTGTGCCTTTTAAAAGATGTATTTGTTCTTGTAATTGCCCTGGTTTAATGGTGTTGACTAATATTTTTTGAGGACTTTTTTCACTGTGTTACACCAAAGTGCTGGTAATAAGCCTCTGAAATGTAGTTTCAAAGTCCGAACCACCAGTCTTCTCAAATCCTGGCTTCAAAATCCTGACTTAGAAAGATGTGCTTCAGCCAAAGCCACCAAAGATGAGTTTAACAGTTGAATGGTAGAAAAAGAAGCTTAACAAAACAAATTATAAGCTCTCTTTTGGCATAAAAAGCAGAATTCTATCAAAGCTTCTGTAACTTCATCTTTAAGAGTTAAGCAGATGATAGTCTGGGCAGTGTCAAATAGGACCTTCTGTTTTCCTTCTTGTTTTCACCACTCTGTATGAAAATCCTGAAAATCACTCGGATTGTTGTCAAGGATACTTTGGTACCTAATGCATTAGTTGTACTACAATATGATCTGGCTTGTATTTTTGAGCATCTTTGCCCAGACTTCAGCAGGACTCATGATCTCATGTGCTCTTCTGCAAAACATTTCTTACTGTTCCTAGCAGCCCAAGAGAAACTTCACTTCTAGTGTTACAAACTGGATACATAGATGTTGATTCAAGAATTAATAGCATGGATAAAAATATATTGGGGGAGGGGAAGAAATCAGTCTTGCATGGCATCCTAAGAAGTCCATTGCATCATGCTTAGGTTGATGGAGCAAGGGTGGATGTTAATTTTATCTTTGTTCAGGTGTTGACTCTGGTTCATGGAAAGGTCACCAGTCTAAATGCCACATGTTCTGTCAGAGATGACTTCAGCTGTTGTATACCTTGTCTTAGTTTATTCAAGCCTGAAATATCTAAATCCTTTTAGAGATTGAAGTGAAGAATGTCATCACATGACTGAGCTTCTTTTCAAATTGAAATGCAGAAAAGCATTTAAGATAAATGGGTCTCAAGTTGTGACAAAGGAAGTGATTTTTAAAGCATAATGGATGGCTATGAAACAGGCAGCAGTGTAGCATTAGGTTTTGAGTACTTAAGTCCACTTCAAAAAAAGGTTGTTTTAAAAGTGAAGATTGTCTAAACAACGTGCTCTGTAGGAAAGTATGTATGTTCCCTCTTTTAAAAGAGAGTACATGAATTCAACAATTACAGAGTTTAATGCTTTGTGGGTATACCAAAGATTTAGTACTCTGTATATTACAAATGAAAAGATGGTTTTTTTGGATGATGTTTTGTTTTGTTGGGTTTTTTGTTTGTTTGTTTGTTTTTACCTGTTTTGGTTTTATTCTAGCATAGGTAGTGTTGGAGTTTTAAGAACATGTGGGCGTTCAGTTAGTATGAATAATTAGTGATGGTTTGCACTGACCTGTTTTGGAAATACATTGCACTTGGCCACTGATATCGTACAGAAGACAAATGCATGGAACTACTACTATAATATTTATTCTGGAAGATGTAATCAGTTTAGACAATCAGATTTAAACAAATGTTCAAGGAAAACGAATGATTCAGTTAACTGCTAGAAAACAAAACTAGAACCTGTATTTTAAGAGCATTCTCTGATCTCAAAACAATGATGTATAGAGTAAATCTTAAAACAAAAAAGCATACAAATGTAACCCCCTGAAGCATTAAGATGCTTACATGTGAGCTCTCCTGTTAACAATAATTTTGTGGTTCTTGGCATATGCATAAAATTAAATCTCCATGAAAATGCTTTTTCCTGCCTTGCTCCATGTTAATACCATAATGCTAAGCACACATGTGGAACTTAACTGCAGAGTGTAGCTGAATAATCTATATCGTGAAATGAAAGCAAGGCTACCTGACATACTAATGCTGACTTGCGTGTGTGTAGTATGAACATGGATTAGTGTGGAAGAGAGTGAAATATCCTTTAGTGCTGTAGTGGGAATTGTGCTGCATACTTGTGATAATATAGTGGTCTTTGCAGTGTATTTTCTTTTCTTGTCACTGAAACTTTGTAAAGACAGAATATAATATGTGAAGCCAGCCTAGGTGAGGTTGTGACCCAGCCATTTCACTTAGTTTGTTGTAGTTGCTGCCAATTCTACTTAAGACCAGAAAACCCTTAGGACCTTTGTAAGATTTCACTTCAAACCCAGTTGATGCAGGCTGAGATACTGTTGAATGTCTTGCTCTGACAGCTCTGAACTGACTGTACAGTGTGTAGTGTATTCTGTATAAAGATGAAATCAGAGTTCTTACTGAAGATGGCGTTTTTATTTTCAGGTCCGCTGGATGATGTATTGGATTGTGTTTGCTCTTTATACTGTTACTGAAACAATAACTGACCTAACAGTCTCTTGGTAAGAGCCTGCTTTTTATGAACTCTGGATGAAACCATACTTGTTTCTCATGTTTTTAATTTGCAATGACTTAATTTTTATAAGGAAGTTGTACTTGTTGGTAGTCCTTTCTTTTTCCCAGGAAAAGATCTTGGTGTTTGTGAAGAGTAACATCTGTTTTCCAAGATTGCTGTACAGTGTCACTGGAAGTAGGGACTATAAAGCTTCCACCTTTGCTGTAGAAACTGAATAGCAGAATGAAACTCCTACAAGGATGGACTAATTTCTCTGTGCAGGAATGTATAATGTGAAGCAAGTATATTAACTGTTCCCATTTATTAAATGACATTGCAGTCAATTAAAACAATTAAATCCATATTTAATTTTTGTCTAGTATAACTTCTTGTATGTGAAGAACCCTATATGTTAACATGTAATTGTGTTTTTTGAAGAAATCTCTTAATGGTGATTAATTACTATGCGTTTTCTTAACGCAGTTGTTGATTTCATGCAACCTTTAACTTTTCTGTAGGTTTCCACTGTACTATGAACTGAAGATAGCTTTTGTTATCTGGCTTCTTTCCCCATATACTAGAGGGGCAAGTTTAATCTACAGAAAATTTCTCCACCCACTTCTTTCTTCTAAAGAAAGGGTAAGAAATTACTTCTTACATTTTAATGCCTAATATGGAAATACCATATGCTGAAGTACTAACTGTTGCTAGATACATGATAAAAGCAGATCAGGATGTTACTGTTTTGCCAGGCAGCATAAACTTGGATTAGCAGAGACAACTGCATATGTCTGTCCATATACATGCTTCAGTTTGACTTGCATGAACAGACAATGTACTACTTTCTATTGACATAGCTTTGTGATCTCTGGTCTACCTAGTACACTTTGGGAAGCCCAGTTGAGTCGAAGTGATTTAGTTTGACTTTCTCCTGGAATAACATGTGCAGTACTTTGCGCAGAAGCATGAATGCATTTTTAACAACTGTTCATGTTACCACTTTTCCTAGCGCAACCTAGTAATAACATTTCTCAGGACAAATGACCTTGACTTCTCTGTTGTGTGAACTGACAGGATAGGAGGAGAGACTTTCTACTGAGGTTTAAGGGAATACCATTCAGGAACAGAAAATAGCTAAAGGATATTTAGCTTTAGCCAAAGTATTACAGGGCCACAGATCTGCTTAGCTCTTTTTCCATATCCTGTTTGGATGTGTGGAAAGAGTGATTAGCAAAGATGGTAAGACTACCCCTGGTAAACCTCACAGGACAAAAAATAGCATTTATAAATGTCAGTGCTGGGCTTGGCCTTTATTAGGCAAAACAGGTAGTTACATGATTGCCACTGATACGAACAGTAAGGTCATCTTGACCTTCTGAAGGTTGAACTGTAAACCATTTGCAGCTTCATAAAATAAAGGGATTTTTACCTGTAGTCTTCTACCTGTTGTGAACTACCTTGAAGCCTTCATCTCCAGCTCTAGGCACTTACCACAGCTGGGGATAAGTGTCACGACCGCTTGGTACTTAACTATGTCAGAACTCTGGCTTCAGAAGTTCTCTGTGGGCCAACTCTGCTTTCTAAGGAGCTCTCTGATTTCACGTGAAGCATTTCTTGAAGACCTTTTGCCTTACAAGTTAAGCTTACTCTCTGTAAGGAAGTTGCTATGTAACTGCCAAGTTTCTGTACTGGGCAAAAGCGATCCATTTTATCTTCTTTGACCACACATCCTCTTTTAAATCAGAGAGTATAAGTGAATGAAACATCAGTATACAAAGGCAAGAGTAATTGTCCTATTAAATACTTTCTTAAAGATACCTTCTGTTCTTTGTTGATGGAAAAATAATACTATGGGGTAATGTGACTCTCTTATGCATAGACCTCTAAAATTTCAGTGTGTTTTGCTTTTAGGAGATTGACGAGTACATCGTACAAGCCAAAGAAAGAGGCTATGAAACCATGGTGAATTTTGGAAGGCAAGGGTTGAATTTGGCAGCAACTGCTGCAGTAACAGCCGCTGTAAAGGTAATTTTCTGCTTGCATTAATTGCTTTTCTCCTTGATCTAAACTGGTGTAATTATACTGAGGATTTGCCATTCCTTAACAAAAATTTTGATTCTGCAAATGTATTGAAAACCTGGAGCACAACTTAAGGGTTGCAGTCCTCTACTCCTCATCCTATATTTGTTTTTGAAGATAGCTTGTAGTTTGTTCTTTGATAATGGGGATCAGTTTACTGTAATTCAAAAGATACCATGGAGATTTCGATGCAGGCTTTTTGTAAAGATGACTTGTTTCTTTTCTGTCTCCGTTATGCTTTCTTGTTTGTAAACAAACTATTTAAAGGATTTCTGGCTTTTCTGCTGTTTTTCTCCAATCAACTTGAGGTAACTCCACATCTGAAGTAAGGCATGAAAGATTGCTAGCACAGATAAAAGTTATCTTGACACAATTAACTTGTTTGCAACTCATTGGCTGAATTATTAAATTAATACACTAAGCATAAGCTTGCATATTACTCTTTAGTATACTCTTGCTTTGTCCACTTTCCATGAAATCATGAAGTAACCTGTCATTGTTCCTACAAAACTCATGGCCTTCAGTTGAATCTCATAGAAAAACAAAATACAAGCTTACAAGTGAGGTTGTAAACACCCTGTGGCCCACAAAAGGGGTGTAACTTCAGGCAGCGTGTATCCTGCCTAATATTCATTTAAACCAAAACACAAAAATTAAGTATGGAAAGAAAGATTAGTATAATCAGTTAAATGATAGTTTTAAGGTGGTCAGGATAAATTTCTTCCTGGGAATTAATGAAACTGCTATGTTCATAGTAACAGGGCTGGAAACCTGAACACTGTTAGTAGATGACAGAAAGCTGGTCTGTGTAGAGGTCCCTGAATGTCAAAGTAGGTACAGCCGGCATTTAACTTGTATTTCTGTGCTTGTATGTGAACTTCTTACTTTATGAATCAAAGACATCTCTAAAAACCTATACCATTTTCAAATGCTATCTCAGAAATGTTTGGAAAAAGTCATGCGTTTCTTGTTTGTCCATTCTCTCTCTTTTTAAAGATATATGTGGGTGGCAACATAAAATGGCACTTTATGGCAGTTTAAAAACATGGATGTAATGAGCCTAAAATACTAAGAATATGATTCAGTTTGATCACCGGTTCTTTTTTGTTATTTGAACTCTCAGTATTGCCTCGAGGCATGAAATAATTTAGAATGGAGTACACCTCCTAAGGAATGAAAGTATTAATAGTGAAAAAAGGCTATTAAAAAAAAAAGCACACCCCTCCCCCTTCAACCCAAGCAAACCTAACAAACAAAATCTTAAAGTACTCTACTGGGGAAAATGTTTAAGAACTAGGCTAAATGCTAAAATGCAAATTCTTTGCCAAGCAGCAAATTATGATTTATTACAGTGTGCACCTGTAATTATCCTTATGTTTTCCTTGTGTCTGGCTGTCTGGCTAAGATTTTTTTCTATTTCTTGTTAATCCTTATGGTGTTACAGAAATATTGTTAAATAAATAACACAAATATCTCCTCCCACTTTCTACTGAAATAATGAGTAACTTTTTCCTGAATGTGTGTGTTTAGATTTCATTGCCATTCAGCTGTGACTGGCAAGGTGCCTGCTCTGTTTGTTAAAACTTGTTAAACATGCTCATGAATATTTGTACAGAATTAGTTCAGTGCAGATGAGATGCTTGGGCAAAACGACCACCACAATACTGAAGACCTAAAATAGACATGATATTTTAAACAGTATGAAAGAGGAGACTCTAAAAATCTGTATTTTGGCATGTTAAACTTCTCTTTAGCTTGTCATTCCAAAAATCTGAGCGTGACTGCTCCATGCAAGCAAATGGAGACAATGCATGTGTTCCTCATTTTGTTCCCTGTTTTTCGAGAGTTGACTGCTGCCTCCAGCAGGTGAAAAGATTATTCCTTCAGCATGAGCTGGTGGAGCATGCTATAGGATTTCAGGAATGGAATCCTACTAGTGGGATCAGTTTTGATGGGAAGGAGACACACTTTCATAACTTTTCAGGAGCAGGAATGCTTATTCTGACAGATCTTAAATTAGGAGTAGAGAATGTGGGAGGCTAAACACAAGAGCTCCAAAGAAAGCTTCTGTTCACTGAAGTGTCCAAGCAAAAGACATTACAATGTCTGCTTATGCTAACTTGGAGGGTGATAAAATTGCTTGAAATTCTCTGGAATATTTTCAAGATCAAGCGTGGGAAAGAGTTGTTTACTTCAGGGGCTGTCAAAGGAATTAAAAGGCTAGTAGGCTCTGCAGGGGAGGCTGGAGCAGACAGCCAGGTCAGTCTACTGAAATTTGACATAGGTTTGAACCTGCTCCACTGTACTTAAGTTGAAATGTAATTGGCAGGAGTCATGGCTTATAACTTACATTCCTATACTGATATTTTTAGCTGGCACTAGTTAGCCACTGTTCACGTAAAACTTAGTGTTTCAAAACCTGCTAAATAGCATGCATTAACAAAATAAATTGTGTTACTTATTTTATCATGAACAGAAAACAAATCTTTGTAAAATCCCTCTTCCAGAAGTTTGAGATGAAGTAGGGTCTTGGCTGACTTCTCCTGTTTATTAATAAAATTTTTCTTTGGGATTAAAATAATCAGCAACAAGATGCCTTTAATGACAGGAAAGTTGTTGGAGCTCGTTCAGCTTAATAGTATATGGATATGTGGAAATTGTATCTACAACACTTAAGTTCAACTGATATATCTTGTATTTTGATGCATCTGCTTTCCAGATCTTCTGAGGTCCTAGTTACCTGTACATTCCAATTTTTGCCAACACATAAATTCTGACTTTTCAAGTTACTAGCGAAAACTGGTTTCTGTATTACCACATGTGGGACAGCTGCTGATTAAGCTGTGACATGCACTGTCCTTCTTAATGAGGCCACGCGATTATTGTTCATTTGTAAAGTAGTATTTGATGGTGGTGATGATAATATATTTTGAGGGCTGTGTTTCTGCATGTCTTTGAGTCATCCTGGATCTGCTGCCTCTTTGCTGGTTGAATATTAGTCTAAAGGCCTTGTACAGACTTCTTCTCTTCTTCCCACTCAAGGCATGGCAGAGGAAGGAGGTACCTTGCAGCCAGCTGTGGCATGCAGCCAGTATCAGTACGAACAGCTCAGCTCACTAGCAATACTGCTTTCATCCCTCCTCCCTGCTGGGACTGCCTGGCATGCTGCAGAGGTCATTCACCGGACAGCAGTCCCTCTCCAGATTGAGAGGGAACAGAAGTCATTCCCTGTCTGATTGGATCAGGGAGAGAACAGCTGGGAATGTGGGTGCTGCACACTGCAGCTCTGTAGCCACAAAGCTCCAAGCATTTCTGTGGATGCAGAGTCCATTGAGAACTTGTCCAATGAAGGCAAGCAGCTTTATTCAGTGATCCTGACTACTGAGAGGGTGCAAGTCCAATTTAAGCAACAAGAAGAGTCCATGCACCAGAGGCTGTGTGGTGTCTGGTTAGAGCAACTTCCCTGGGTTAAGCATATAGACTATAAAAATACATGCTCAGTAACAAAATAGAGAATGGCATTTCATCTATGAGGGTCAGCTGATGAGACTGCATACTAATAGCTTACTAGAGTCTGAGTAGTCTCAAAAGGAGTCTCTTAAGTAGACTATATTTATAAGAAACTGGATTTAGAAACCTATTACAACTTTAATTAGTGTTTCAGGTTGGTCACTTCTAATGAATGTGGTCTTTCAAAAGTGTTTTGTATGTTTTAGGAAATACTGCTGAATAAACAAGCTCATTCTTTAAGACCTGCTTTTTGTTTAAGATAACACAAATTTTGTGGTTCATCTCGTGAGCATTCACTTACATAGATACTTGAGCACTGAAATTGTTCTGTGCTTTTTTTGCCTGCATTGTAGTTGTGTGTTTGTCTCAATCTTTTGTAGTGTAATTTAGTTGGCAGCCTCTGGGCTGGATGTAGCCTGTTGTGTTCCTTCCTTACTGGTAGGAACTGTTGAAATAATGGGACACCAGTGGAGGAGTGGCCACTGCTCTGTCATCTTCTTGTGAGCAGCATACTGGGGCTCTCTGTATGGCAGGGGAGAGGTGATTGCTGCTGTCATGCCCATGGTATGAATGTGGATGTGGGAGATCCCCTTTCAGGTCCGCCTGCAATTGGATTGCTCTATCTTGTTTTGTGAGCAAACATCTTCCTTCCAAGCTCTGACTAGTAACTCTCTCAGCTTTGAAACAAGATACCAGATTTCTTAATGCATTAATATTCTAAATGTGAATGTTACTTTCACATTTCCTGCAGTAGAGGGTATTAAATATTTTTCAGCCATTCATTCTGAGCTGATGGTAATCCAGATCTGGAATGCTTTGTTTCAGCAGAAAGCAATTATCTGCTGCTTCTGAGCATGGAACATCGAAGACTCTGTAAATATTAAGTGCTGTATGAGCATAGTGATGTGTTGGGTTTTGTTGCAGTTTTTTTTTTTCTTTTCACAATTAAAATACACAAAATGCCTTAAAATGGGGCCTCCAGCTGACCTGCAGTGGTGTGAAGTAGAAATCAATCTTGATTTGGCTAGACTGGATCTTTGTAGGGTTGGAATGGAGACTGCGTTCAGACAGGAGACTGGGGGAGACTGTAGGGAGTACTTGCATAGGATTAGTATAACATGTGACCATGACTGTGCAGTACAGCAGTGGTTATGCAGTCCCTATTCCTACTGTGACTCTTGGGGTGTGTGTGCTGCATCTCTTATTTGTATATGCATCCTTTCAAACTTCTTAACATTCGCTGTGTGTAACTTGAGTAAAACCTTCCATCCTGGTAAGTAGTTTTGGAATGAAGGGCCCATTGTATGAATCCGTTTCTCCTCCCTGAATGAGGCAGTACACCACAGGAGCTCTAGCCTCAGCAAGAGTGCAGAGTGGTTAAGGAAACAATGTTATTTTATGTCACATAGTTGACTTTTTTTCCCCCTCTTCAAAGAATAAAATCCTGTATCCAAAAGCTGCACTGAAAAATAAGACTGAATGTTTCCAGCTTGGATGTAGCCACTATATTTATAATGGAATAGGAAATACAGGCTCATAATGTGACTTCTTAGCATGTTAGTTATTATAATTTTAATTACATTATCTGGTACAATTTCCACATGTCTTTTTGTAGTATATAACGTGATGAATGAACTCGCTTTGCAACTTCTAGGCAGGTGTATCTTTTTATATTTCTGCTTCTGGAAGAATCGAGGATTATGTCCACACTTAGTGAGCAGGGTTGTGCCTAACTATTTCTATGGATTCTGCTGAGAACCAGCTGAATCCATCTTATGCTTTCATAAGTGTTCAGTGGTGGAAACCCGAGTCCAGTTGTTTATCTTCACACAGTGGTTGTAGACTGATGAACTGTCTTATGTGTTGTAGCAGATACTGTAAGCTGTTACTTGTTGTCAAAAGAAGCAGTCCTGTCTCTCCAGTTCTCTGCTATAGTATGCTAGCAGCTGACTGTAAGTTCTCAGGCATAGCCAGTTCCTGACTTGGTTTACTGTGCAAATGCTTTTCAATGCAAGAGGTGAATTAGTGGAAGGGCAGGATTCCTGGTTTAAGGCAGGGCAGACCTGCCCTAAATAAGCCCTTTTAGGGAATAAATTTAACTTAAGAATTTCTACAATAGTTTACACACAGACTGTATGTTGTCTGTAGTGCATTTTTACTCAAAGGTGAGCTGTAGTTATGTTCTTGAGACCCATCAGTCATCCTGCATGTATGTAGGAAGAACTAGAAAAGGAAAAGCTTCCACTTCTCTCATACAAAAACCTTCTTTTGTTATGGTATAGTGGCAATGTATGAATGGTTTTGCAAGAATTAAAGTTCTTATGGCCTGTGTAGCACACCTAGTTTTACATGCTGTACTAATTACTAGTCATTAGAAAATTAATATGAAGTTCCTTTCCTCCCCCTGCCCCCCCCTTTGGTAGCCGTGTATACTTAAGGAGTATCAGTAGTGTCTCTTCACTTCACATAGCTATTTTTAATATGGAATAATTTAGTGTGCTGGTCTACCATGCACAAACAGTTGTTCATGAGGGTGGGAGCAAATGGCTATGGCCAGTGGTGCAAGAACTGCTTTATGCTTGTACTGTTGCAGAGAAAGGTGTATGGATTGCTGCTGCTGCCAGCTAACATATTGCTCAAATGAGGATTTTCACTTAAAAGCTTCATTTGTAAGAATAAAAGAATGTTGTTTCATTTGTAAGAATTAAATGAAATCTTGAACCCTTGCTCCAAGGAGAATTAATGCACAGGCATGTTAAACTTCTTCTGAAACAGTTACTTTTTTTCACTCGTATGCCAGAAAGGAAAGAATGAAATGGTATTTTAACATGACACTGAGTAATGTGCTTGCACTTTTAGTTGCTTATACGATAAATTAATCTTCAGTGCTTTAGTAACAACATTATCTGGTGTAAGATGAAAAGCTGCTTGATGACCATTCTTTCCAGAGAGGAACTTTCTGTGTGTCCCAGGTAGGAAAGGTGTAAAGCCAATCAGAGAAGGAATACAACACTAATGTCCAAATGTGGTCATCTATTCTTACCTATAGCATTAGATTTTGGGCTGGGATTATGCCAGTATAGCTATGTTAGTATGAGAACCTGATAGCCTGTAGTCCAGGCAGGACCTCTTTGGTTTGTGGTTTCAAGTCTCTGACAACTAGAGCTGTTGTAGTGCTGCCAGTTTCTCAGTTACTTGAGTTAATGTTGCAGAGTGTATTTTTAACACATGCATATTCAGATTTGTGGAGTGTAAAATATGAAATAGCGGATATCCTTATCTTCAACCACACTTTTAAAACCGGAAGTGTTAAACACACTGTCACAATACCTAGCACTGCTGGAGAAATACCATGTTTGAAGTGAATCCAGTGTTTTTGATGTGTGCTGTGTCCTGCCCCCCCCATCTCCATTGAAACACTTCCCCTCACCAAAAAGCCTTTAGTTGCTCAGATTGAAGGAGTGAAATGAGACATTTGTAATGAAACTGCTAGTTTCCGTAACCTTTTCATCTAGGAACAGTATACAGTTAAGCCTGAGTTAAAGCAGTAAAGCAAAGGCAAATCTGTTGCATGCTTATGTTAAATGAATTTTGTAGTGCAAAAGGAAGCATGGGCTTAAACATCTTAACCCAAATGAATAGCAAAGTTAAACCTCTCCTTTGTTTTTAATGATATTGTTACTGTGTTTCAGAGTCAAGGTGCCATAACTGAGAAACTGAGAAGTTTCAGTATGCATGATTTGACTACTATACAAGGAGATGAGCCAGTGGGACAGAGACCATATCAGACATTACCAGAATCAAAAAAGAAAACCAGAGCCTCTGCAAGTGAATCTTCAGGTAAGTATCTATCTTTTCTTTTCCTTGCTGAAAGAACAATTTACTGAAGACGGAAGTGAGAAAGCAGAAATACGTTTATTCCTGGTAGAAATGAAAAAGGCCTCTAAGAATTACAGTACACTTAAACAGAGTTGACTTGAGCAAGATATATTGTGGCAGTTGAGGAAATTCTCCCTGAATTATTTCCTTATTGCAGCCACTAAATGTGTAGTCGTACCATACTCGTTACTCCTAACTTATGCCAATTAGTGGTGAGAGTTCCTTTCCAAACCTTAATTGGAAGTAAAAAAATATGTGATTAAGTGGTGTTTCTGTGACAAATGTACAAAAAGTTAACATGAAAATTTATGGAAGGTCAATAAATTTTGAAGAGAAAATTAATGGAAATTAATTCAGTAGGTCTTAATGGTAGGTCAAAATGTGAAATGGCTTGTGGTGATAGGAATAATTAAGGCATTAAGATGTCATAATGGACTGATGCACATCAGTGCTCAAAAGCTGATGGTGCATTGTGTGATGAGCAATATTTTTGCAGAGATACTTTATTATTGGTCTTTATTTTTATATTATCATCACTTTGCTGTTGAGTCTGTGATCTTTGAAGGAAGGTTTCAGTGGAAGGTTGTCAATTGTACCTTCTTAAGTGGTGAAGCTACGCTGTAGTTATTTCCCACAAAAGAAATAGTTCTGTTTCTTTTCTTTTCACCTAAGCCCATCATTTCTTCTCATTCCTCCATTTTGGGAACGAGTGATGCTTGTAGAGTACAAAGAATTCCAGGAATTGAATGGTAGCCCATGGTGTTTCTGAGGAAAAATTGGCCACCTGAATGGCCCTAATCTGTATTGTTAATTGAGCCCAGAAGGTATCCTGTGCAGGTCAGTCTAAAGGCAGGGGGCACTAGCCATGGCGTACAGCCCATGTATTTATCTGATGCATTAGGGATGATGTCATTGCAGCTGTTTTGCAGGGGTTATTCCTCAGTAAGAGACCATTAGTTATCTATCTGAAATAGCTTGGAAATGCTCAACACTCCATTTAAAAAAAAAACCAAAACCAAAAGCTAGTAGTTTATATGGTGTAAATAACCACTGCTTGTAAGGTTCAATCTCACATGTCAAAATGTGAGCTTAGAGCTAGTTTTATTGTTTCTACTTCTGGACCTGAATCTGGTGTATGCCTTTTCTGATTTCTTAGAGTTTTTTTCAGCATTAAGGATTTTAAAAAAGGACAAACCACGGACAGAGTTAGGAGCACCGTGTAGCAGTATTTTGGTGCGCTTAGCAGAATGTTGGGTGTTTTTGTCTGAGCTGGGAGGTCCTTTGGAAATTAGTTGGAAAAACTTGGTTGTAGAAGAACATTGATAATAGCATGACCGAGCTGTCAGTATGCTCGATCTGAAGAGGGCAGATATGATTTTGATGCATCAGAAGAGGTGTTAGAGATAAAGCAGTACTGGTGTCACAGCAAACATCCTTTAGTCAGGATGCAATTTAAAGCTTCCATATTGAAGAAGATAAATTGAAACTGTATTGGAGGCAGAGATGTGTTGTCTCTACGAAGGCAGAAGATTCAAGTCTCTGTGAAGTAGCTGTGAAGTGTGTGATTGTCATTCCAATTTCAGGAAAAGAATGAAATGACCAAAGGAAAGGAATCTAAATCAGCCTAAGGGAAACTGGCTTAAGATGAAATGTGCCTAAATGAAGTCGGGTTTGGAGTCTAAAAGGTGTCCCTAACTGTTACATCTTGTAGGTTTTGGTATGGCCTTATAAAAGGAGGGCTTGGCGAGGGGGAAAGAAACAGACTGCATTTTGGGGGCTTTATGATATGTCTACGATGGGGCTTTCCGGGCTTTTGGACCCCCAAGGATCTTCTCAGGACGTGTTTTTTAAGCAGTTTGCGCCCTCTAGTGAGACTCTTTGGTAATAATCTTGATCCTATTTTCGCAGGATGTAAACAACCCTTGCTAGTAACTACTTTAACATTGTATCCATCTGAAAAGGACTTTGTTATTAAATAACCAGAGGCGTGCAAGTGGAAGAAAGATCCTATGAATTGTAGGCGGCTTTGGATTGGAAGGGACCTTTAAAGATCATTCTGTCAAACACTCCTCCCATGGGGCTTGTGGCCAAAACCCTTAAGTGCTTGTCAAGATGACCACTGAGGTTTCTGCAGTTCAGTGTAAAGCAGAAGATGGTAGAAAGCTGATGGTTTAAATTTTGACAATTGGGGAACCACTGCATCACATACCTATGGCACAAAGTGGCTTGTTACTTACAAATGGCAGAATTGTAAGCAACAAGCTCCTGGCAGACAAGGTGTTTCACTGTTTTGAAACAGCTGAGAGACTGACTAGATTGTTTAAAAAGAATAAAGAATGTGTGCTAAAGATGAAACTCCTGGCTTTCTTAGAAATCTAAAAGTTACGGTTACTTCTTCTATAAACGTTGTTATAAAACTGTTTTTTAAAGGTTACAAATCTCCACTGGAAAAAAATCCTGGAGATGATAAAACAGATGAAGAGATGGAGGGGACACATTCAGAGGATGAAATGTTTGCTCAGAGAGGCCTTCGAAGAACTCAGAGCATGAAATCTGTGAAAAGTATTAAAGGCCGTAAAGAGGCAAGTCTAATCTTGGTTAAGTATTGAGTCTGGTTTTAGCAATGTACCTTGACATTTTTTTTTCCTAAATCTTAGAGGGTTTATCAGGGTTTAACTGGGTTGTAGAATGCTAAATGAAGAAGGAAGTATGTGGTAACAATATCAGAGCTTGGAGCTTTTGTACTTTGGGGTGTTTACAGGAAAAACATGAACAAGAAGAGCTAAGTGAGGAAAAAGGGTAAGTAGATGAAATGGACTTTGTGCTTGTAATGCTGATTTTGGCATCACCAAGCCCAGACTCCAGGAACTGCTTACCTTGAATGGGATGTATATAGTGATATTGTCATCTGCATTTGCGTGTCTTGATTGTGCACACTTTAAACATCTGGTGCTCAATTGGATTATTGGAGACTCAGAATTTTTTATTTCCCATAGACGTATAGTCTTCTTTGACTTTAAGCCACAAAGAGAAGATTCTATGTAGTAGGTTCTATGTAGATTCAAAGTGCTTTATATTCACATGTGTCACATGATTTAAGGATACTTCAAGATAAATCTCTATGGAATCTTACAAAAACTTTTGGGGTAATTATAGGAAAACAGTAGAGACTTAAGTATTTTGCCCAGTTCTGTTGAAACTTTATCTTGTTCAGTCATAGGCAGATTCTTTTACTGAAACTGTGGAGTGTCCAAAGCACATTTAAAGATGCTTACTAGATTGGATTAGCAGAAAGGTAAATAATATTTCTGCCTGAAGTGATCTCAGCTCTTTGTTTCAATTTCTATTTTCCCTCAGATACGGTATGGATCACTGAAATACAGAGTAAAGAAGAGACCCGCTGTATACTTCTAAGTGTATTGCACAGTGCCTGCAAGACAAACTGCTGTATTATAATAACTTGAATTCAGTGTGTCAAGTGATAAAGATCTGTATATGATTCATATAATGACTATATGAATAGATATGGTAGGACTTGGTTTTATGAACCTAAAGGGTCAGATAAAGTGTTACTTTGCTTTTCTGTAACTGCTTGTTGCTTAGACTTAAATCTGGACAAGTTGTAATATGGATTTCAGCACTTCTTAAATGGGAGTTAAATGAGTAACAGGAAACAGTCTTTTTCCAGAGGTACTGAACAGACAAAAATAATTACAACTCCAAATGAATTAGCAGAAGTTGTAAGTATTTGGAACTTGTGAAAATTGAACCCAAAGTGTCCCCAAGTTGACGTGGAAAGATAGGCATACTTGAAATATTTTTCTGAACTACAGTTCCTGAAAAGGCTTTTGTGTAATTTAAAAATGTTCAGTTTAAAGGATGGTCGATGATGGTAAGGAAGGGAGAGGAAAGACTAGGTAGATATGGTACATCTGTAAGATTGTCATCTTTTTGCATTGTATTGCCAAGCTTAACAAACTTACATAACACTAATAGGTGCAAACTGAGGGTACATTTAGCACTTTATGCAAAACTGTATAGTTTTGCACACTTACTGATTTACAGCTGCACATGTCATTTTAATGACTTCTTAGGTAGGTCAGACTTATTTTTTGAATGCCAGCAATTCTTGTATTTCATGATCTTATTTTAATTTATCCTGATTGCTTACGTACACTTAGGATGCTGTAGATAATTGCTACTAACAACAATATTATCAGGTGCCTTACTGTATATTACAAGGCTGTGTGGTTTTTTGTCTGTGTGGGTGGGTTTTGTTTTGTTTTGTTTGTGTCTTTCTTTCTCCTTTACCTAGAGATATGTTACATGATTTAGGTCAGTTTTTGGTTAAAATTGTGGTAAGTAAAACTAGCAGCAATTCCAATGATAGACCTCAGGGATCTGATCAGCCCATCAGCTGTGTATTAGAAGTCATGCTGACATGAAGTCATATGATAGATATTCAGGCCCTGGTTTGGTTTTACATAGCATTGCTTTAAGAATGAATATATGTATATATTAGAACATGTATGTGTGTATATTTCATATATATGTGGAGTCTAATATTGGCTGTGTAGTACTTTTATTACTAAAGTTAGTACGAAAAGATTTACATACAAATAGCCCTTTCTAAAAGACTAGCTAATTTAAAAAGACAGCCATTCTATAACCTAGAGTCCCACAGCATAACTGTTTGCACAGAGATTAATTTTGGAATGTCATTCAAGGCAGACACTTGTCAAAATGACTTTTTGAGGTCCCCTTTGGTTCTATTTTCTGCAGTTCTGAAAATTAGGCCGACTTAGTTTTCTGTTTGACTACATTTCTACTGTGGATTCAGGAGAAAACACTTTTCATAGATAGCATAGGGAGAAATGGTGTTAACTGTTCTTGAAGAGAAAATGATGTGTGACCCTTCTTATCCTTGGATCTTGGACTACAGTGCTTAAGCCTTTCCCCAGGTATGACAGTCATCTGCAAGTCTACTGCAGTGTTTTTAAACATATGCCTAAGGCTTGGGTCTGCCACTGTTCTTGTTTATATTACAGCTATAGTGGGGTCACTGTTGGTACACACTTAATGGCCTCTTAATATATACTGGCTTTTGAAGTAGTCTTCTGAGAACTTTGGGCCAGGGTTTGAGTTATATGGCTAAAAATGCAGCTGCTCTGTATTGGCATTGTGTAACTCACTTGCTGTTGTAGGCATCTGTAAGCCTAGTGCAAAACCTTGGTCAAAGATAAAAATAATGATGGTGCAGTGCTTTCAGCATCTACAAAGAAGCTAAATGCTTTATCAAGAAGTTGTAATGGTCCATGTCTGATTAAAGGCCAAAGCTTGTATTACTTGACTCGAAGAAGCAGTTTCATACCAGAAGACAGGAAGGCTACTCTCTGCAAAATGAATATAGTGCAAAAATCCTATCCTCTAGCCAAAACTGCAATTTGTGCAAAACTGCAAGCTTTTATAAAGAGCTGTTGTCTGTGGGGAAGGCAGTGATGAGATGAAGTGGTTTATCACTTGTGTCCCAGGAATGTTTGTGCTTCTCATCTTTTTCCCTGAATGTAGGGAAGGGCTGTCTGTATGTTAAGGTATGTAAGACCTTAGAGGAAACGGAGGCTTTTGTATTGCATCTCACCCCAGTCTGAAAATTAGACTGACCTGGTCCTTGTGTGGTATCCCTTAACCCTTACTATCCAGTTGAGTGTCTTCCTTGGGCACACGTTGCCACATCTTGCTTTAACTCATCTTGTTTGTTTTATTGGCAAGCATGGCAGTGAAACTGTCATCTTGCTACAAATCAGACTCCTACATGAATGAGCAGGGTAAGCCCTTCTTTCAAGATTACAGTTCCTTTTACAGGTTTATGTAGATCCTGTTTCAGAGCTCGTGTTCTTCTCACGTTTCCAGGACTAGAGATCATTTGAGTATTTTAGGCTCTACCACACTTATGGTCAGAATGTTGCTCTGTGTGTCACTATGTACTTGAGGCTATAACTTCTGGCATACTTAACTTGCTAATTAATTAAATAGTGACAAAGGCTAAATAAACTTTTTTTTTTTTTTTTTTTTGGAACTATGCATGGAACTAGGAAAGCTGGCAGTATTACTCATATCATTACTGTTTGCATATAAATGTACATGTGTTCTCTCAGATACTATCTTAAGTGATAAAGTGTCCAGTGTTTTCCTGGTGTTTTTTTTTTCAGTCTAATACCCTACTGTAAAATTCTCTTGATGGCTTGATTTTGTTCTCTGAATTCATCCTGAGACTGATTCACTATATTATCTTAAGGTCTGGCTTTATTTGTGTTTTCCCTTGTTGTTCATTGTCAGCTGATGCTTGGCAGGGCACAATGGCATGATTAGCTTTCATCCTAATGATCCTGTATTTCTCTCTGCTTTTTGAATTTAGTTTAGTTTGGTTTTGAAATATTACACAATCTTTTGAACTTTGCATGTAAGGAATTTTCAAACTTTTTTGCCTTAGCTGCTAAAGTCTAGCTTTTGCCAGTAAACTTCTTGGAAAAATGTTAAACAAAGAATCAAAAATTAACTTAACATTCTTTTTGGTTTTCAAGTGTAAAATGTAGTTCATGTCAAATTATGTAATCTTATGAACAGAGCATTTCCTGAGAAGTAACTGACTGCCACTAACAGGACTGTTAATATAGTGAAAGAAGAACCTAGAGGTCAAAGGTGCTTTAAAAGAGACTGTGTATTGCTAGTTAAACCATATGAAAGTTTCGAGCCTTTCCAAAATACATCTGAACTAGCTCAGATTTCTTAGCAAGAGCCTACTGTACATGGCAAAATACACATCTTGCGATGATGATTAAATCAATGGCCTCAGTTGCAAGTAAGCTTTGGTCAGACTCTGATTACAAGATAATTGCCAATATTAGCTACTTGATGCTAATTGCTTTGTTATCTGAAAATAACTGAATATTATCCAAGATACTTTTTTGCAAACTAATTTTAAAATGGACAGAATATAATCTGGTTAAACAGACCGGTGGAGTAAATGCTAGATGCATTTAACACGCTGTTCATGACAAAAGATGTGCTTTATTTTTGGTGTGGCTTTTATTAATGGGAAGTTGGTCTTTTAAGTATTTTTCTACGAAAATATGTATGTGCAAAGGTGATACTTTAACATTTTTCAAGAACTCATATTTTTAAATGCTACAGACCAGAGACTGTCTACATTAAAGTTAGTAGCTTTACAAAAATGCATTGTAAGCTTTAATTTTTATATTGTAATAATAACTTGCTGTCAAGTTGTTTACATATTTGTAGGAGGGAAAGCTTCATTATGCATTGACTTATCTTGATACTATCTTTAATAAATGCTGCTTTGAGTAGGATGCAGTGGATATTTTATTACCTGAAATACAATTAACAAAGCAATCACTGTAATCTGTATTCTGTTACTTATTACAATTATTCCAGTACTGAAAGAACCACTCTGAACTTTGAAGAGACTTTGAAATTGTTTGAAGTACAAGTAAGCTGTCATTGAGGTTTTGCTGTGGAGCCTGATGCTGATTTAGACTTAAATGAAAGTTTGTGTGCTAAAGGCAACTTGAAAATGCTGTAGCCTTGCTTATTTTGATTAGATGTTCAATTCAGAGTAAAGTTAAAATAAGGTGCTTAGTCTCCCAAGAGTGCATAGCTTCCTGGGGACCTGCTGGATTTTCTTGGTTTTGGTGTAGTTTTTTTTTTTTTAATCAAACTATTTCTGATGCTAGCCTCTTTTATTGATGTAGCTTTACTGTTGTTTGTGCCAACAAGCAGATTTTGTTATGTATTTCCTTGTCAGAAAGAGTTCTTCTGGTATCCCAGAGGAGGAGATGTGTAGATGAACTTGGGCCTTTCCTTTTTCAAACCTCCCTTCAAGTAAGCTGTTAACACCTCTAGCAAAACCCAAGCAAAAAAACACTGTTACCACATTTTCTGGACTTTTTTTTTCCCCAAGGCTTTCTTCATATGGTTAATTGAGGAGGAAGACTTGAAAACTACAATTTACTGCAATTTACTGCTACTGTCTCCTAAGCATTATGGGAATACATTCCAGGAGCAAATACTGTAAGGGACCTTGCAGTAGTTCAGTTTCTAATGTCAGAACAATTCATACAGTACAAAGCCCCTGCCTCTGAAGAAACTGTGGGTGTCAGGGAACATTGCTGTTTTGTTTTTTTTGTGTTTTTTTCTTTTTTCCCTTTATTTGTTCAAACAATGTTCTGCAGGTAGCAGGAACAGTCGTGAGTGTGGGATAAAAACTGTATTCCTGCTGTTTAACATGATGCTGATGAGACCTGCTCAGGGAATGATTATCTGGTGGTTCTAAAATAGTGCTGCTACATATGTAATTTTTTTTTTTTTTGAGACCTCAAGTTTCTGTATTTTCCACACCAGTGTGGAAAAACAGACCACTGAACATGAGCGGGAGCCTGACAGGTTTCTAAAATCAGTACACTTCAAAAATTATTTTCATACTTCCTGTAGATCTGCCCAGGAACAGAACGGAGCCTGTCTTGTTTATGGTTGCCAAGGTTCAGCAGCAGATTGTTCTGTTTGAATTAGGGTAGGAATCATGAAAGCAGCTGAAGCAGAGGCTATAAGGACTTCAATAAAGCCTAGGATTTCACTACTGCCTGCTAATGTACAGTGACTACATGGATGAGGAAGCTCAGAAATGATTTAGAAAGTCTTTTATCCACACTGTCACAGTTCCAAGGTAAGCAGCACTTTGACCCTCACCGAGCTCTTCCTGGGCAACATCTGTATGTTGCATGGCACTCACTGCTTCCTCAGTGAGGTGTGCCATCCCATCCAGTCTTTCTAGTAATTTTAGTTCTCCTTGGTAAGAATACTAAGGGGAGGGCATCCTAACTTACTGCCTTGAAGGAAAGAATTTCTTGATATGGTTAACTGGGGAGAAGGACTTACAACCCAACCCAAACCAAAAGCCCTGCATAAAGCTAGTGTAATAGTGAAGTTGCATCTTAAAATGTAATGCTAGAAAAAACGCATAACCACATGTATTGCAGTCTTGAGGGAATTACACCAAAAGCTTTCCGTGCTTTTGTCAAACCCCTTTCCCCCAGGTCTAATTAATAATAGTTAATCTCTATTCTTAATACTAGAATTGCCAACTTCACTGGAGTTTTTCCTGTTGTCCATAGGAGGTGGAGCGTTGAGGTGGTGTTCTGCAAACTGAATGGGAGCCACAGGGGAAGCAGAGTATTTATGGCAGTTTAATTTGTTTTATTGAAGAAGCAAGCAGCACTGTCTGGATCTGTAGGTGCCCAATTACCAGACCTGGCCACAGACAGCAGCCTGGGGAGAAGGCCACAGGGCAAAATTGACCTTTGTTAGCAAACTGTAATTATCTAGGCTAATTAATCCTGATGAAAAATCCTGCTTCTCTTAAAGTTGAGGTCATGAAAGGGGGAGAATTGCTCCGATTTTAAAACACCCCTGGAGCAGCTGCTGAGCTGTTCTGCCCTTCCCAGGGGAGTCTCTTGGAGCTCCACTTCGAGTGCCTTTTTGCTGGAGAAGAGGCCTGGCCATATCCGTTTGCATCCTACCTTGAGCAACCC